TTTTGCATCCGCGAAATTGTATTGGCTAAGAGCCCATATCGGAAAAATGTCTGATTGGCTGGATTTGCTCGACGCGCAATCCCATTGGTTGATAGCCCATCTCGAAAAACCTCTGGTGAGACTGGAAGTCAATTTTTGTGTATATTTTCACAAGGAACTCTTCTGAAGGTTAAAAAAACATTTTTCCGTTCTGTGCGAACGAACGAACGAAGTTACGAACGAAGTTACGAACGAAGTTACGAACAGACAAACCTAACTCGGTGTATGACCCTCCTTTCAGTAGAGGGAAAAATAGATAGAAGGATTTTGTTTTAGAGATAAATTCATTTTGTTTAGTTGAAATTATCTATTTGTGAATATTATTCTTTTTCTTTTGAAATAGAACATTCGTCTTTGAAAGAAATTTAAATAAAATTGACTTTCCAAGGTAATTCTCTGAAACTTCAAAAATTGTCAAAAGAATTGTATTCTTGATAGACAAACAGAATGTAGGTGTGTATCTTTTCTTCAGCCCTCTCCCATCAGAAAAGTCGATTTTTCAAGTAAAACTGGATTTCGAGATTTATTTATAGGCTGATAGCCCTTGCGATGGGCTTTAAGCTGACATCATTTTTTTTGTCAAAAAAGAAGGTTAGGTTTTCTCTTGAGGAAATTTTTCTGGTGGTCCCTAACTGAGTAGTATGAACCTGCATTGTATGAAAACTTTTGTAGCTTTAAAATACGAAAGTTAATTTCATATAGGTTTTGATGATGCTGAATTGTTTGTACATATATGAGATGTGCGGATGGTTGTTAGTGTTGGTGCTGGTGTGAGTGTGAGTGAGTAGATATGAGTGCGTGTGAGTGTGGACTGTGAACAGAATAGTGGCCTGAACCTTGTCCTCACCCATCAGCACATCCCACCCACACCCACACCCTCAAGCAAGTTGCGACAACGAGTGTTACTTGTTTTAAGATAAGGTATCCATCGGATATCTCATAAACTACTTGGTCGAAATATGTTCAGTAAAAGGTTGCTTAAAGCTGACGTCTAGAGATTAAGCTGGGTTTCATACATAGTATTCTGTAGTATCTACTAATTGAATTTTATATATGTTAACGATCAAACCATACTTTTGACGCTTATCTTATCTTCTATCTTTCTAACATATTATCTTTTGAAGTATGGCGTGATTCGGTTTCTCTTTGGGTTCTATTTTTACTCAGGCACACAATACGTAACTACAGCCTACAGCCACATCCACACCTCACATCTATAGCTATACCTGTTAACATCGGAATAGCACTAAAACTGTTTCTAGACTCCTGCCTTTCGGTCTAAAGAAAATTATGTTTCACGAAATACTGGGCAATAATTTTGTGGGTGTATGTGTGAATAGTGATCTGAACGTGGGCGAGCTGATGTAGACGTTTGTGTAGTGAAGAGAACATCCATCTTCATTCCCATCCTACACATACATCCTACTTTTCCTTCCAAATAGTTGTTAACTAATTCTATTAATTTAAATATTTTGGCACATATCTTTCTAAAAATATAAATCCATTCGATAAAGTTTATTAAGAATAAATTAAAACAGCAATGGTAGCTACAAATACAGGTTTTTTTTTGTCATATACATAAATATAGGAGAATAGTGGTACTACAAAAATATCGATTTGTTAGTTTGAAAATGTTCTGGTCTATGGAATACTGTTTACTAGTTTTAGACATATAAAGATAAAAAAAACAATATTTTAATATTATTGAGCGGTTAATTGATTTGATATATGCAATGATCAATGAAGATGACGTTCGTGTTCAAGATATTGCCTAAAAGAAAAATATAAAAACAAAACAGAATAATTATGAAATATAACTCTACCGTCGCATGTATGAGATTAATCGTTGTTTCCGATCAGCAAATGATAAATGTGGATCTAATGGCCATGTAAAATTTTCATCATTATTTTGTATCGTTCGGGATGAATCCGATCTGAAATATAAAATAATAAACTCAATGTATAAACAAATATAACTTTACAATAAATTTGTATCAATCGATACATCAATTTCAGATGATGATGATGGTGACATATAAGATGATTCTTCTGATTCTAATATCTCTTGTTGTTGTGATTCAAGATGAATACGTTGTTCAATAATATTCTCAATCGTAGTATCCATGGATTGTGTCCGTTGTAAATCAGAAAGAATAATTTCAAATGGAACTTGTGGAAATATTTGTTGAATATTTTGAGCCATAGCTGTTAATTGTATATTGGTAAGACGCGAACGACCACGACGAAATGGAAAATTATGATTTATTTCAATTGAAAAAGTTGGTAACCATGATGAATAACGATTTGTACGAAAATGAAATAAATGATTACGTCGTTGACGTTGGCCATTATTAATAGTTAAATTATCAGCATTTGTTGTAACACCTGTAAGAGATAAAGACGGCCAAAAACGAAAATTAGATGTTGATTGAATTGGAGTAGGATTAGTAGACGTTGCTTGAATGGTATCTTCATGTAAAGATAAACGACAAATTGGACACGTTGTATCATGTTCAAGCCAATTTCGAAGACAATTTTCATGAAATAAATGACCACCTAAAAAAAAATAAACCATTTTATTTATTTTATTTATATTTAATCTAAACTACTTTACATGGTAAACATCTAGCTTTTTCAAATTTTTCCCAACAAATCGAACAAACTTCTTCTAATGTTGACAGATGATTTTGTTGACGATATTTTTCTTCAAGATCATATTTAGTTAATAATGGATATTTCTTTTTCATACGTATCATTGCCATACGATATAATTTATGTCGTTTTAAACGTTGTATTAACTCATTACATAATGGTTTTAGTTGCATAAAAAATATTAATGATGACATTGACATATATGTTTGATGATAAAATAACATTTGTAAATGATGTAGTATATCAATGGTTAATGTTAATATATCAAATAATAATTCAACATAATAAATAACATTTGAACGATATTCATTTGATGTTTGCAAATGATTAGTTTGTTGTTGTTGAATATATATATATTTAAACAAAAGATAACTTATATCAAGTGTTAATAATATTGTTTCAGCTAACATAAAAAAACATATTGATAAACCTCCATATTTTAAACCAATAAGAAAACAAATTGTAAATAAACCAAAACATAAACAAATTAATGAAATAAGTAAACAGAAAATTTTGATAAATGTTTGACGACGAATTGATATAGAAACTGATATCTATTGAATACACAATTAAATCCATACAAAAAAATGAAATCCTAAACTTACTAATTCCAATCGATCTTTAGCTAATTGACAACAAAGAATAGTAATGCCTAAAGTAAAAAACCATGATAACCAAAGGATAAGTTCATTTAGATTTTCTAAACCAAGTACACCAAAGAGAAAACAAAATTTATAAAATGCATAATTCCAAAATTTATCTTTTATACGTTGTAATTCAGTAGGACGTAATTCACCAAAAACTAATGTTTGTAATTGTTTTACAGCTAAAGCTATTGAACAATAAATAGCATTGACAAGTATCTAAATAAATCAATTAATAAAAATCTTTTTTATATTTTTTTGAAAATTCATTTTTCTTTTTACCAGAAGTGAAAATGATTGAGATATGATGATAGATACTAATGTTCGAATATAAGCAAAAGAAAAATGTTTTTCAATTGAATAGAAAATTGTTTGATTATTTATCGGTCCATTTATGATTGTTTCATTTGTTGAATTAATAATAATCGATGAATCGTTTTTATTTGATTGCATTAAATGATGAACATAGAAAATATTACCAAATAATAATGAAGTACTAATTATTGTATAATATTGAAGGGATGGTAATGGTATTTGATCAAATATATGTTGAAGATGTAATGGCATAATTTTGCAATTTTTATCTGAAACAATAATTGTTACAAAAGAAATAATTTTAATATGCGTTATAAGGTAATTACACTGACGTTTTCTTCTCGAATATGAATGTAGGTAGGATACAGACTAATCGTGATGGTGATAGAGTCAATTGCAAAGTAATAGAGCAAAAGTACGGTCAGAACGAACGATCCAAAAATATCGAACAACTTTTTTTTTACGTCGATATTTTACAAGCGTGCAATGAAAAACAAAAGAATGTAGCCTATTAAATATCGAAAGATGTCTTACACAGACGGTAGAAAAAGATAGAAAATATTCATATTATTTATAAAAATCTCTATTACATCATGTTATTTTCGTACAGAAATGATCAGTCTGTTAGATTGAACAATATACAATATTTATTTCATTCTGTTTGTTTCTTCATTTGAACCGATAATAGTATTTTTCTGTACATTTCTTTGTTATTATGTATTGAAATTTTAAAATACAAATGAAGTTAATATCGTTAACAACACTCTATATTGCAAAGAACATTTATAATTTATAGTGGATCTTTAGTATTTATAAATCAGTAATATTATCAGAGATTGTCAAACAATAAAGTATACTTTTTAATTTCCTTATAATTTTAATACTCTTTCTTATTTCAATATATCTATCATTACGACTTCGAGAGAATCGTTTCACAACTATTATTAAAAAATATTCATAGAAAGTACATGTCATCATTTTCTTTCAGAGAAAGACTTATTTTGTTTTTTGTTTGTCGTCGTCATATAACAATGTTATATTTTTCTTTTTTTCATTCATAGTCATTCAGTATTACATTTACAGTACTCGCATAAACAGAGCCTAAATTTGAATCTTTTGCCAGATATTTTTACTACAAACAGGATTCGGTAAACCTAGATCGAAATTACCAACCTGAGGTCGATCGACTTTAATGTATCGGACTTAGAAAAACAACATTATTTTTTTCTTGGACATTAAAAAAGG